AAAGTCACAGTCGTTTAAGAGCTCGAAGGGGAAAAAGTTGTCGCAACACGTGGAACGTGTGATATAATAGAAACCTCGCGAATATGCTTCTGAAGGCCGGTGATTCCGTAATTTCTAATGACGAACCACAACTTCAACGCTCTGAATCTCTTTGACAACGGGATTTGCCAGTGCTAGAATTATAAACGAAGATTAATGCATGTAAATGTCGTGAAATAATTTGGTCGGTTAAAAAGCCTCATTGGTTAGTTACCATGTAGTCGATGGCCAAGCCTGCAATTAAATAAAATGTTATGTATAATCGAACGTGTTCCGCTTGGCCGAACTCGAATAGGTTGTATTAAACACGATGCATCGTTACCTGAGTTTTCATGCTTCAAATACAATGGGTCCACGTTAAACGTTCTGTGCAATGCTTGGCTACTTTTCACCCTAAAAAAGAATCACACAGAAGATGTTGCCGATTAATGTTCACGACCAGTATGTTCGATCGATCGCAGTCTGGCAGGAATTTAATGGGATACAAATAAATTTAGATAAAGTAATAACCCGAGGGAAGAAAAAGGATTCTTTTAATTTCGTGATATATTCATCGACGTCCGGATTTAGAAAGCGCTGAGGATTATAAAACAATAAGTTTCCTCGCGCTATCGACTTTAATGGACTTTCAAACATCAATCCTAAAGATTGCGAATTATGTCGGGTCGGTCGAACGAGTCGACGGAAATTGCAGGAAGAATGAAAAAAGCCATTCTGCATCCGCAGTTCAACCTATAAGTCATGAGAAAGAGCAGGACGAAAGGCGATAATCCTTCGCGCTTATGAATTATCGGATCTGCAATGATTTCCAGATGTACAAATTTCCTGCCCTGCTCGTTTCTCCTTTTCCTCGTGAATATTGTCAGTCGAATGTTGTCGCCGAAATGAAATAGTTCAGATATTTGTGGTGTATTTGTACTCACCACATAGCGGTGCAGTCAAAATGCACCATCAGCCATTTGCTAGGATTAAAAGCAATTGAATCGGCATATTCTATTCCTTGGAGCCATCCACGGAATTCAGGGCACACGAATGCACTGCCTGCATAGGCTGCGTCCACGTGCAACCACAGTCCATTCTGTTCACCTGTCAATTCATTCGAAACGTGAATTGATCATTCGACCGAATTGAACAGGATCCAGTTCAAATTGAACTGTTTCAGATTTTTTTTTTTTTTTTTTTTTTTTTTTTTTTTTTTTTTTTTT